AAAAAAAAAAAAAAAAAAAACACGAATCTTGTATTCAATGCCAACAGACGGTCGCGGAAAAACTTTTTGCAACAGTTTTGGAAAAACACTCAGGTTCCGTGGAAGAGAGGAACTGTGGAGGTCGTTGTCACTCAAAAAATAGACCCTCAGGCACTCAACTGTAAAGATGTGTTATTGCTAAAAACTACTGTGGCACGAATTTACTGCTTCTGGAGGAAGCAAAAATTAATAAATAACAGTGGCGTCAACGATAATGCCGCATTAGGGCTCAGCGTGAAAAGTAAAAAAAAGTCCTGGCAACAATGGTGCCGTCAAAAATTGGGACGTACAGACGTCGATGCTGAACAGCAGCTATGCGCAAAACGCGAAGATTGGAATGCATAGCGAACGATCACAATGCCAACAACACTTGGAGAACGCTTCTCCAAAACTTAACGACGTCACTGTTACAACTTGCGTCAGTCAATTTAAATATACTTTTTTTTCTTTTTTTTTTTCCACGTATTAGCCGAAAGATTCTTTACGCTTGTCATTGGTTATCCAACATTTGTCTGTTGCGGATAATCTTCTTTTGCTAACTAAAAAGCACTGCTGTACGCACGTAATTTTCAAATGCTGAAAACCACATAAATTTTTGACAACATATCTAATGTTAACACTACTGTTACTGAGTTTTAAAAAAAAAGCGGAGAGTAAAGTGGAAGATGAAGAAAAGCTTTCTTTTCCCTTCTACGACTCTGATGAAACTGCGCCATTCAGTCTTAAATGAATAGTGAACATTTTTATGTATTTACTGTACAGAAACTTGTGAGGAACAGGTAGTCATCAGGTTGTTGCTAAAGTTCCACATAGTTGACAGACTTCAGGTTACATATATTTTTTGATTTTGTCATCTATCATTTATTTATTTATTTGTTCATTTAGAACTTTTTACTTACGAATTTTTCTTTCAAATTATTTTCTTCTTCCGACAAAAAAAAGAAATCATTTTACTCCCAAACAGTATTTGTAAATATTTTGTCGTGCTGCCGAAACTGTAATTGTTCTTCGTTGATCAGCATTTTAAATTGAATGTGAGAAAAAAAAAAGAAAACAACTAATGGATAGTTCAAATAATGAAGGATAACCGCAGAAAAAACTAATGGAAATCAAAGAACAGTTGTGAATCTTGTAATCCTTTAGTGCTAACAACACTTCAACAATACATCTAGGCATCTCCTGAAAAAGAAGCCTAGTTTGAAAACTATACAGTACTACCACTGAATAAAAAAAAAAAAGTTATATTTGAAAATGCGTTCAAAAAATTATAGTGACAATGTTTGAAAAAAATAAAATAAAATTGGAGTAACGAGGAATAAAATATGTGACAGAATAATCGGTTGATTCTAGGACTGATAATTACCCAACTGAATAACTGCTTAAAAAAACGGTGAAGAACATAAAACGTTTGGCAATAAAATGGTAATGCTTTTTTTTCCTTTCTTGTCAGTACCCCATTTATTTTTTTTAACAACTTCTATTCGAATACATAGACTTTAATTCGGTAATTTTTCAAACAGGGAAACAAACCGATGGAGAAGATGGCAAATAGAGGTGAGGTGGAGCGGATGATGTTCTTTTTTAAACGTGCATAATATCGGAGAACGAAGCTGGAATCGAAAAGAAAAATGCAAAAAAAAATGTTTCTGACGTAGATTCATTTCAATCAACAGATATGAATTTTTTTTACCAACCACTAAAACAATCTGCCAAAATGACATAGTAACACAGCAACTAATTCGTTTTTTTTTTTTGTAGTTAAAAAAAACCAAAACGTAGCTATCGTGAAAGCAAACAACAGGAAAAATATTTCAAATTGAAAGCAAAAGAAATAGG